TATTTTTTTTTTTTTTTCTTTTGGAGGCAGGGTCTCACTCTGTTGCCCAGGCTGTAGTGCACTGACACAATATAGTTCACTGCAGCCTGAAACCCTCCAGGCTCAGGTGATCCTCCCACCTCAGCCTTCCTGGTAGCTGGGACTACAGGCATACACCATCATGCCTGGCTAATTATTTTATTTTTTTTTGTAGAGATGAGGTTTCACCATGTTGCCTAAGCTGGTCTTGAACTCTGGGCTCAAGCGATCCACCTGCTTTGGCCTCCCAAAGTGCTGGGATTACAGGCATGAGCCACCATGCCCAGCCTTAAAACCATTCTTAGCTAACAAATCATACAAAAATAGTATATGAGTCAGTGGACTAGGACCCCTGTTCTAGGCATGAGATTTCACTTCTTGATAATAGTAAGCAACAGGAAACTCAAAGAAAAAGAAAACTTTTAAACAAAAAACAGTAATATAAGAAAAATGTTCTTATCTGTTTTCTGGCTCTTTTCAATATTCTGACATCATTTGAAATTAACGTATCTAACAGAAATTATGTAAGTTTTTACCTTTTTATGTCTTTTGAGGAATTGCAGCAAAATATTTATTCCTATGTTTTTATTCAAGTTTGTTGATTCCGAAATACCATGACTGATTATTTTTTGGTTAGGTTAGGATAAACTTACATAGATATTTTCAGCTACATTTCCACAGCCAGCCTGAGTAGTAGATGGTTGATGCTGTCAGGTATGCACTCAGATTATTAGCTATGATGATAAAATAAACTTAGAACATGCAACTCCAGAGCACTAGTTACGGCTCCATCTCTTTTCTCTCATTCAAGAAAATACAATTAATTAAATATAGTTGTATGAGAAACATATTATCTTAGTGTCTACTGTAATTTGCATTAAAAGCCTACATTATGTAAAATCTTTTGGTTTTACTGGTTAAAAATTACCAGTAACACCTCCCATAGTGAAATAGGGTAGTGATTAAGAACTGTTACTTTGCAAAATAAAAAATGTAATCTTGAGAGTATATTTTGTAACTCTGGATAAACAAATTTTCTTGTTGCCAGAGCTTAAATCCTGTTCAGATAGTTGACTCAGAAATAGTAGCCAATGCATATATTTTTAGAACATTTTGGCTACTCTGAGGCAGATAAAATTTGGGGTTAAAAAAGATTCGCATCCATTAACGTACAGAAAATGGTCGGGTACAGTGGCTCACGCCTATAATCCCAGCACTTTCGGAGGCCAAGGTGGGAGGATTGTGTGAGCCTAAGAGTTCAAGACTAGACTGGGCAACATAGGGCGAGGCTATCTCTACAAAAAAAATAAAATAAATTAACTGGGCCTGTTGGCATGCTCCTGTATTCTCAACTACTCGGAAGGCTGAAATAGGAGGATCACTTGAGCCTGGAAGGTCCAGGCAGCAGTGAACCATGGTCATGCCACTGCATTCCAGCCTGGGTGACAGAGTGAGGTGCTATCTTAAAAAGTAAATAAATAGGCCAGGTGTGATGGCTCACGCCTGTAATCCCAGCACTTTGGGAGGCTGAGGTGGGCGGATCATGAGGTCAGGAGTTTGAGACCAGTTGGATCAATATGATGAAACTGCACCTCTATTGAAAATACAAAAATTAGCTGGGTGTGGTTGCATGCGCCTGTAATCCCAGTTACACAGGAGGCTGAGGCAGGAGAATCGCTTAAACCCTGGAGTCGAGGCTGCAGTAAGCTGACATTATGCCATTGCACTCCAGCCTGGGCAAAAGAGTACAACTTTGTCTCAAAAAAAAAAAAAAAAAAAGTAAAGTACAGAGCAAAAACAAAAAAGACTAATGAATTTTGTAAAGAACAAGTTGCACTCTTTTAAGTTCCCTTTCACATGTGTAAACTATTGTTCATGGGCAATATGCAAGAAATTGAACATTTTCCAGTTATTCCTAAAGAAGGAATATTCTCTTCCAAGCATTTATAAATTGTATGTGCTCTCAAAGTTAATGTGTCTCTCTTAATGTAATGATTTGTATTGAATAGGTCCATTTAGATCATTGTACTTGGTTTTGCCTTTCAACAATTTAAACTGCAAAATGTATGTATTTTTAAGTGCCTGACTTTTATATTTTACAGAACTGAAACCAGAACAGGTGAAGAATATGTCTGCCAGTGAGGTATAGTATTTTACAATGATTTTTTTCTTTGTTTTGGTCCTCTATATCGTAAGACATATACACATGAGTGTGTGTGTGTGTGTGTGTGTGTGTGTGTGCGCATGCGTGCAATTTTTTTGTTTTGTTTTGTTTTTAAGACTGAGTCTGGCTCCATGTCAGCTCACTGCAACCTCCACCTCCTGGATTCAAGCTATTCTCCTGCCTCAGCCTCCCAAGTAGCTGGGTCTACAGACGTGCACCACCACCCCAACTAATTTTTGTATTTTTAGTAGAGAGTGTGTTTCACCATGTTGGCCAATCTGGTCTTGAACTCCTGACCTCAAGTGATCCACCAAACATGGCCTCCCAAAGTGCTGGAATTACAGGCTTGAGCCACCACATCTGATGGTTTTTTTTTTTTTTTTTTTGAGACACAGGGTCTTGCTTTGTTCCCAGGCTGGAGTGCAATGGTGCAGTCATGGCTGACTATAGCCTTGACCTCTTGGTCTCAAGCACTCCTCTTGCCTCAAACTCTGCAGTAGCTGGGACTATAGGTAAATGTCACAACGTCCCACTAATTTTTAAATTTTCTGTAGAGATGAGGTCTTGTCCTGTTGTCCAGTGTGGCCTCAGACTCTTGGCCTCAAGTAATCCTCCTGCTTCAGCCTGTCAGAATGCTGGGGACTAATTTTTTTTTAAAATGGATTTTTCTAGTTTAGTTAATTAGAAGCTAGAAAAAATGAAAAATGAACTTTGCTTCATTTCAAAATATGGAAGCCTATGAAATTAGTCTCAAATTTTTCTTTGGTAATGGACAAAACATATATACATAGTCATTAAGTCATTTTCTACCAAATCATATTATGTAAATACTGAACAGAAAAAAATTATGGGCGGGTGTGGTGGCTTACACCTGTAATCCCAGAACTTTGAGAGGCCAAGGTGGGGAGATCACTTGAGGTCAGGAGTTCAAGACCAGCCAGCCCAAGATGGCAAAACCCTGTCTCTATCAAAAATTTAAAAAAGGCTAGGCGCGGTAGCTCTCACCTGTAATCCAAGCACTTTGGAGGCCAAGGCAAGTGGATCACCTGAGGTCGGGAGTTCAAGACGAGCCTGACCAACATGGTGAAACCCCGTCTTAAAAAAAAAAAATTAATTAATTTTTAAAAAATTAGCTGGGCGGCTGGGCGCGGTGGCTCAAGCCTGTAATCCCAGCACTTTGGGAGGCCGAGGCGGGTGGATCATGAGGTCAAGAGATCGAGACCATCCTGGTCAACATGGTGAAACCCCGTCTCTACTAAAAATACAAAAAATTAGCTGGGCATGGTGGTGCGTGCCTGTAATCCCAGCTACTCAGGAGGCTGAGGCAGGAGAATTGCCTGAACCCAGGAGGCGGAGGTTGCGGTGAGCCGAGATCGTGCCATTGCACTCCAGCCTGGGTAACAAGAGCGAAACTCCGTCTCAAAAAAAAAAAAATTAGCTGGGCATGGTGGCGCATCCCTGTGGTCCTGGCTACTCGGGAGGCTAAGGCAGAAGAATCACTTGAACTTAGGAGGCAGAAGTTGCAGTGAGCCAAGATTGGGCCATTGCTCTCCAGCCTGGGTTACACAGTGAGACCCTGTCTCAAAAAAAAATTATATGAAACTTGAGGGGTTTTGTACATTATAAAAATAACATAACTATAGGTTAAACTTTAATGATGTTCTATTTTTTCAATAATCTTTTTTTTTCTTTAAATGCAATACAATTACTACTGTAATATAATTTATTACCTTTATTTTATTTATTTATTTTTGAGGTGGAGTCTCACTCTGTCGCCCAGTGGCACGACACTGCAACTTTTGCCTCTGGGTTTAAGCAGTTTCCTGCCTCAGCCTCCCGAGTGGCTGGGATTATAGATGCCTGCCACAATGCCTGGCTAATTTTTTTATTTTTAATAGAGACAAGGTTTCACGATCGTGGCCAGGCTGCTCTTGAACTCCTGATCTTGTGATCCACCTGTCTCAGCCTCCCAAATTACTGGGATTACAGGTGTGAGCCACCACACTGGGCCTATTTTTCTTTTCTTTTTTTTTTTTTGAGAAGGACTCACACTCTTTCTCCCAGGCTGGAGTGCAGTGGTGCAATCTTGGCTTACTACAGCTTCTGCCTCCCAGGTTCAAGCAAGTCTTCTGCCTCAGCCTCCTAGGTAGCTGTGATTACAGGCACATGCCACCATGCTCAGCTAATTTTTTTTTTTTTTAATATATTTTTAGTAGAGGGGTTGGCCAGGTGGGTCTCAAACTCTTGACCAATTTATTACCTTTTCTTAATATGGAAAATCCCCTTATGAGATGCTGAAGCATTTCATTTGAAAAAAGTTGCAGGTAAGATATAAAATTGGGTCTGCAGAATGGTCATAACTATGTGAGCAAACTTTTAAAATCAGGCCTGAATTACAGTCAGCCCTTCCTATCTGTGGATTCTGCATTCGTGAATTCAACCAACTGCAGATCAAAAATACTTGAGGGGGGAAAAGCATCCTTGTTGAACATGTACAGACTTTTATTCTTATCATTATTCCCTAAACAATATAGTATAAAAACTATTGGCTGGGTGTGGTGGCTCATGCCTGTAATCCCCAGTACTTTGGGATGCCGAGCCAGGCTGGTCACGAGGTCAAGAGATCGAGACCATCCTGGCCAACATGGTGAAACCCCCGTCTCTACTAAAAATACAAAAAAAGTTAGCTGGGCATGGTGGCGCATGCCTGTAATCCCAACTACTTGGGAGGGTGAGGCAAGAGAATCACTTGAACCTGGGAGGCAGAGGTTGCAGTGAGCCAAGATTGCACCACTACACTCCAGCCTGGCGACAGAGCAAGACTCCGTCTTAAACACACACACACACACACACACACACAAAACAACAACAACTATTCACATTGCATTTATATTGTATCAGGTATTACAGGTAATCTAGAGATGATTTAAAGTATACAGGACTGTGTAGGTTATATGCAAATAGTACACCATTTTAATATAAGGGACTTTAAGTGTTTGTGGATTTTGCTATCTGTAGGGGTCCTGGAACCAATTTCCCAGAAATACTGAGGGACAGCTGTATATTTGTAACTTGTTTTTTATTTCCCTAATTTCAGCAGTTGTTCAGGCTGACAGTGAACTGTTAACATAGATAATGAGTGTATTCAAGTACATTTTGGAGTCTTTTTTTCCCCAAGCTTTTAGACTCCTGTCAGATGAGGCATCCTACTTGAATTTTTTTTTTAAGAAAGCTTTTAGTTTTCTAACCTTTATCTTATTAATTTAGTTTAGTTTAGTTTTTGGGATAGTGTCTCACTTGGTCACCCAGGCTGGAGTGCAGTCGTGCAGTCATAGCTCACTGCACCCTTGAACTCCTGGGCTCAATTGATCCTCCTGCCTCAACCTTTTAAGTAGCTGGGACTACCGGCATGCACCACCACACTCAGATAATTTTTTTAATTTCATGTAGAGATGGGGTCTCACTCTGTTACCCAGGCTGGTCTCAAATTCCTGGCCTCAAGCATTCCTCCCACTTTAACTTACCAACGTACTAGGGTTACAGGTGTGAGCCACTGTGCCAGGCTTGAAAATTTTTAATCCCACACATAAAAATATAATTGTATCCACCATTTTTGTTATTGTTATTGTTGTTGTTGAGATGACGTCTTGCTCTTGTTGCCCAGGCTGGAGTGCAATGCCACGATCTCAGGTCACCGCAACCTCCGTCTCCCAGGTTCAAGCAGTTCTCCAGCCTCAGCCTCCCAAGTAGCTGGGATTACAGGCATGCACCACCATGCCCGATGAATTTTTGTATTTTTAGTAGAGACACGGTTTTTCTGTGTTGATCAGGTTGGTCTCGAACTCTTGACCTCAGGTGATCCACCTGCCTCAGCCTCCCAAAGTGCTGGGATTACAGGTGTGAGCCACCGCCCTCAGCCTGTATCTAACATTTTTAAAAGTCATAACATTATTTATTAAAAGTTTAGATGGTAAAACTAAAAATTAAAGCTTAATAAAACTACTGAATGATTTACAAGGAAGAATATTACTGGTACCTTTTGTAACCATCCCATTAATTATATATATTCAGGTTATATTGTTACAATTTTTGTTTTTACTGTATACTTTCATTCAGTTGTTTCTTTTTAATCTAGTAGTTTTGTTATTAATAATTTGATAATGACCTTTAGCTGTTATTCCTTACTTATGAGTTAATATTTATAAAGCACTTAAAATAGCTGGCACATAGTAAACACTATGTAAAAATCCATTAAATAACTTTAAAAAATAGAAAGCCGACAGTGGCATTTTTATTATAAAGATCAAGGTAACTTTCATTCCCATTTATGGGATAAGAGGTAAACACAAGTAATTTGCTCTCTAAACATGTACAGTGGAATTTTATATACCCATTATTTGATGCAACTTTAATACCAAAGTGTATTGCCAGGTTCCAGTGAATATATATAAATTTAGATAAGAAAACCCAACTTGGCTGGGCATGGTGGCTCACGCCTGTAATCCCAGCACTTTGGGAGGCCAAGGCAGGCGGATCACAAGGTCAGGAGTTCGAGACCAGCCTGGCCAATATGGTGAAACCCTACATCTACTAAAAATAAAAAAATTAGCCAGACATGGTGGTGGGCACCTGTAGTCCCAGCTACTTGGGAGGCTGAGGCAGGAGAATCACTTGAACTCAGGAGGCAGGAGTTGCAGTGAGCTGAGATCGTGCCACTACATTCCAGCCTGGGTGACAGAGCAAGATTCCATTTCAAAAAAAAGAAAAACCCAACCCCAACTTTTCTTCTACAGTTTATAATAGAAGAAGTTCAAATAATTGGTTTGGAATTTCTGCATTTTTAAGGGTTTGTACTAAAATTGTTGGTTATAAATTGGGGTACTTTGTTTTTTAAGTATAATGTGTATCTGATTTAACTTTATTAATTCCTTTATTATTTTGTTTTTATAAGACAACTTTGCTATGTATTTCCCCCCTTAACTGAAGTAGCTACTAGCTGCTTTTTTTCCTGTTGTATACATTAGTCTCTTACTAACCTTAAAATACCATATAAATTTCATATATATACATATACCAAAATATACACTTAAATTAGAATTACATCATCAACTTTTAAAACCTTAATTTCTGGCCAGGTATGGTGGTTCATGCCTGTAATCCCAGCATTTTGGGAGGCCAAGGCAGTTGGATCCCTTGAGCTCAGGAGTTTAAGACCAACCTGGACAACATGGTGAAACCCCATCTCTACAAAAATTACAAAAAGTTAGCTGGGCATGGTGGCACACACCTATAGTTCTAACTACGTAGGAGGCTGAAGTGGGAGGATCCCTTAAGCCCAGGAGGCAGAGGTTGCAGTGAACAGAAATCGTGCCACTGCACTCCAGCCTGGGTGACAGTGAGATGCTGTCTCAAAACAAAAACTTTAATTTTTATAACAAATTTTATTTAATAATATCATGCTTAATACCCTTATTACATTCATCATTCTTCTATACTTTGGCCTTTAGGAAGAGCCAGGGTGTGTTTTACAGTTAAATAGGAAACAGGTAGGGTTCATAATAGTGTTTTTGGGGTTTTCGTGGGGAGTGAAGGTTGTTGGGTATTTTGTTTTTGTTTTTGTTTTTTTGAGACACCCAGGCTGAAGTGCATTGGCATGCTCATTGCTCACTGCAGCCTCAACCTCCCAGACTCAAGCAATCTTCCCACCTCAGCTTCCCTAGTAGCTGACACTACAAGGGTGCACCACCATGCCCAGCTAATTTTTGTATGTTTTGTAGAGATGAGGCTTTGCCATGTTGCCAAGGCTGGTCTTGAACTCCTGGACTCAAGTGATCCACTCGCCTCAGCCTCCCAAAGTTCTGGGATTACAGGTGTGAGTCACTGCACCAGCCTATATTTTAACTATATATTTTTTTCTTTTTGGCTTAAGTTTTTCATATTAGTTTACAAGTTGCAAGTATTTTCTTTATGCTCATGGAGCTATCAAAGATGATTCGAAGTTAGATTGGGTTTTTAATAGTAATTTTAAAAATATGGATAAAATGTCAGGTTGAAATTTTGTTAAAAGTTCCTCAACTTCTTATTTTTGGGCCAAAATACAGATGTACTGTAGTAATGATTTTTAACATAGGTCATTTGTGCCAAACTTCATTTTCCCTTAAATTTTTTTTTTTTTTTTTTTTTTTGAGAGGGAGTTTCACACGTTGCCCACACTGGAGTGAAATGGTGCAATCTCCGCTCACTGCAACCTCCGCCTCCCAGGTTCAAGTGATTCTCCTGCCTCAGCATCCCAGGTAGCTAGGATTACAGGCACCTGCCACCACGCCTGATTTTTATATTTTTAGTAGAGACAGAGTTTCACCATGTTGGCTAGGCTGGTCTAGAACTCTTGACCTCAGGTGATCCACCTGCCTCAGCCTAGCAAAGTGCTGGAATTATAGGTGTAAGCCACTGCATCTGGCCAAAATTTTTATTTTTCTATTTGCTGGACTCTTTGAACCTATCCATTTTGCCTTTTAAAAGTACTTAGGTATAAATATAGATATTCATTAACTCAGCATTGTTTTAATCTGTATTTCTAAAGGCTATTTAAAATGTCAGAAGATCAGACCAAATTAATTCAAAAATGCATACTTGAGGCTGGGGCACAGTGGCTGACGTCCATAATCCCAGCATTTTGGGAGCCTGAGGTGGACGGATCACCTGAGGTTAGGAGTTTGAGACCAGCCTGGCCATCATGGTGAAACCCCGTCTCTACTAAAAATACAAAACTCAGCTGGGCATGGTGGCATGCGCCTGTAATCCCAGCTACTCAGGAGGCTGAGGAAGGAGAATGGCTTGAACCTGGGAGGTGGAGGTTGCATATCTGAGTGGTGAAATTGTGATTCTTTTTTTCTCTTTGTCTCTATTTTGTGAACTTTTCTATAGTGAGTGTGTTTTGTTTTTATATTGGAAAAATATTGTGTTTTCAAATGTTATACCTATGAAACTAAACACAAGTAATAAGAATATTAGTATATCATTTAATGTGGTTTCTCATGTAGCAGGTCAGCATAAAAAATATATTTAAATGGCTGACATAATTTTCTAAGAATACATATGCATATTTTTTATAACATTATTAAACAGCAGCACCATTACTTTAATCCATCATTTCATTAACCACTATATACCTGTTCATCATTTGTATTGTCATGTGTTTTTTAAAAATCTAGATGAGAAATATTCGATTATCTGACTTCACTGAATCCTTGAAAAAGATAAAACGCAGCGTCAGCCCTCAAACTTTAGAAGCGTACATACGTTGGAACAAGGACTTTGGAGATACCACTGTTTAAGGAAATATCTTTGTAAAAAAACTGCAGAACATTTTACTTAACAAAAGAGAAACACAAGATCTTCAATGAACAGTCATCAGCTACAGAAACAGCCTAAGTTTACAGGACTTTTCAGAGTCTTACATATTTGTGCACCAAACTTGAAGATGAACCAGAAAACAAACTTAAACAAAATACACAATGCAAATGGAATTTTTTGTTGTTTAAGGCCTTTCCTTGATGGTCACTGTTATCCCAATGGACATTGTAAGTTAGAGCACAACAAAAACTGATTCTGGTCTTCTTTACCAATATAATCATAATGTAAATAATCATTTGTATATTGTGTGTTGCAGATGAAAGTATTCCAGAGACAGTGAATGGTAGAAGACACAAGAACCTTTGGTTGTTTGTCTTCTGATGTCTTTTTCTTAAAATATTAATTTCTCCTACTTTTCTTTCCTATTGTTGTCTTAACTGTGGGCGATTGGAATGCCAAACACTCTTAAATTTATTTTCTTTTTTTTTTTTTTTTTTAATAAATTCAGTGTGCCAAATGAAACTTTTTTCCTAAGTAACTGTAATAGGAAAAAGTTTATTTTGAGAATTCGTTCTTCATAAATCTATAGACATTAAACAATTGTTGTGTTCTTTTTACCTTTTATTTTTCTATTACCTTGCTACCAAACAATTTAGATAGCAATATAATAGCAACAAAGCAAATCTGGTAGAATAGAGAAGGTTTGAAGGTTTGAGTTACTCTGTCATGTAACATGTAGATCAGTCCTCATGTGACCTGCAGTATTTTTTTTTTAAGTATTTGTCAGAAATCTATTGTAGACTGTTAACTTCTTCCTTATGGTATTTATTTTCTGAAAGAATTATTCTGATATTTAAGAGAGCCAATTTTAACTGCTATGAAAATGTTTCCAGTGCAAGAGAAGGGAAATACTAGGAACTAAGACATTTCTAATTTATTGCTTATTACTTTCCTAATGTTTACAGGATAATTATAAGCCAGTGAAACTACTGTCTTTTATTCTTGATAATTATTAATCCCTTCAATGAAACTTTTAAAAACTGAAATTTTATACATGGCATACATTTTTCTAGGTTCCTTGTGCTTGCTCTATTAATTCAAAAGTTCTAGTTCTAGTCTGATCTGCCTTTTGTTCTCCCAAAATGTATAGTAATTCTGTTTCTCGTTTGTATAAATATGCCTGGATTTTTATTATAAAAATGTCATTGTAGGGAGTAGAGACTCATATCATGGCCTTTTAAATATTGTAATAAAGGCAAATAGATATTTGCCCTTAGTTTACTGGTTAAAAGTTTGTTTACAGAACTTTTCTCTGGTGCTTAAATGATGCTATGTAAAATGTCATGGGTAGGAAGAATATTTGTAGTAGTAACAAAAATTTTTCATTTTGGAAAGATTTCTTAGGTTTTGAAAGAGTATATTAAAATAAAATCTTGTCCCTACTAGGTAAGAACCTTATAATGAAGACATACATTCTTCTTAATTTTATTCTTGCTCTTTTTAAAGATTTGTCTGAATATAGAAGATGCATGATTTCTTAGGATCATATGCTTTTTGTAGCCATAAGTTAAATCATGTCTCTTCTCATCATGACTTTGGAACTCCCTGAATAACAAAAGTGAGAGTTGAGATAAATAGGGGAAAAAATTTTTTTAAGCCAGAACTATGCATATTTTAGGTGATGGGTAGTATCCTTTTAAGGTCTCAAACATTACAGCATCAATTATAAATTATTAATATTGAAAGGTAGTAATGAAATATATATGATGAAAAGAGTTGAGAAATTCTAAATTAAGACATTTCAGTTAAGCTCATAAAAATTTCATTTTATCTTTGGGAGGCCAAAACATGTGGATCATGAGGTCAGGCGTTTGAGACCAGCCTGGCCAACATGGTGAAACCCCGTCTCTACTAAAAATACAAAAAATTAGTCAGGCGTGGTGGCACACGCCTGTAATCCCAGCTACTCGGGAGGCTGAGGCAGGGGAATTGCTTGAACCTTGGGAGGTGGGGGTTGCAGTGAGCCGAGATCGTGCCACTGCACTCCAGCCCAGGTGACACTCCATCTAAAAAAAAAAAAAACCCACATTGGTAGGGAGTGATGGAAAATTCTTATTTAAAATAATTAAAAGAAATTTTAAAATAAAAACAAAAAGTTTTTAAATATGTCATTTTATTTTCATTTAAAAGGGGATTAACATTATTGATACCTGGATAACTAATCATATTAAAAGACTATGTGGTTCCAGCTCAACTTTTAATATATTGTATCCTTTAAAATTATCATGAAGATTATAATTCTTTTAGGAAAGTTTTTCTTGTTTTTTCTTTCTGTTTTTTGTTTGTTTTTGAGACGGAGTTTCGCTCTTGTTGCCCAAGCTGGAGTGCAGTGGTGCAATCACGGCTCACTGCAACCTCCGCCTCCCAGGTTCATGCAATTCTTCTGTCTCAGCCTCCCCGGTAACTGGGATTACAGGCGTGTGCCACCATGCCCAGCTAATTTTGTATATTTAGTAGAGATGAGGTTTCTCCATGTTGGTCAGACTAGACTGGTCTCAAAACTTCTAACCTCATGTGATCCACCCACCTTGGCCTCCCAAAGTGCTGGGATTACAGGCATGAGTCACCACACCCAGCTGGGAACATTTTTTAGATAGCAAAGATTTCAAATGTTAAGAGAGATAAAAGTCAGGTTAATACTATCATAAACATTGAATCAGAAAATCATCACTATATAGAAATTGCTTTCCTGATCAAGTCTGAAGTTCAGCTAGTGCTAGAGAACTACTTTCTATGACTTACTTTAACCAAGTTTTATTTTAAGCTGTTTCTTTCATAGAAGGGCCATGAAAATAGAATAGGAGGAGATAAGGGATTGGTTTGGTCTTTTTCAATAAAGATAGAAGTTGTTGAGGTTTTCTGAATTAATAATGACTTAGATTGTGACCTTTTAGATTCGGTGTTGATCTCTGTGTTCTATTACTTCCTAAAAGATAATGCTTAAACATTAAGCATTAGTGTGTTCTTCATGTTAATATGGCAGAGTTTTGTAAACTAAATTAAAACTTACTGATATATTGGAGTTTGAGCCAAGGGAAAGAATGAGTACTATCTTTCCACGAATCTTAAGGGTAAAAGCTTATTCTAAGATTGTCTGTCCATTGAGATTATTAGATTTCTGACTTGCAAATATGCATTGTGCTCCAGAAGAATTAGAGGAAAAGCAGATACTAGAATTCTAATTGAAGTACATATATAACAGTCTTTGTTTATAGTGTAGAATTCTTTATATTTTGTACAAAAACTAATTCTTTTGGTAAAATGAACCATTTACAGTTTTGTTTTGGACTCTGAGTCAAAGGATTTTCCTTTCAATGTTTGTCTCAATTTTAGTCTGGTCTTTTGTACTTTTCTTTAGAAGAAATGAATTAAAGGGTACAGCTGCATAAAGTGGGGTTTTATCCTAATGTATTGGAAATAAATGATACACTTTATTTTGCCTTTACTTTTTTACTTTAAAACTTTTTGATGTTTTAGGGGTTGCAGTCTGATAATGAAGGAGTGCGTGTATTGGACTAACTCTCTTGTCAGTAACAGTTATAAAGTCTTAACAAAATACAGAAAGCAATGATTAGGCGGCTTTGCAGAACAATCAAAACAAGGCAGAAACTGCAGAGTCCTACATGGAAAAAGATTCAGGCTGGGTGTGGTGGCTCATGCCTGTAAACTCAGCACTTTGGGAGGCCAATATGGGAGAATTACTTATGCCCAGGAATTCAAGACCAGGCGGGGGGATATAGGGAGAACTGTTTTCTGCAGGAAAAAAAAAAAACAAACACATAAAAATTAGCCATGTTTGGTGGCCCATGCCTATAGTCCCAGCTACTCAGGAGGCTGAAGTTGGAGGATTGCTTGAGCCCAGGAGGAGGAGGCTGCAATGAGCCAAAATCACGCCACTGCACTCCAGCCCAGGTTACAGAGACCATGTCTCAAAAAATAAGAGATTCACCTTAACCAACTTTTACCCATAGGGTAATTCCAGTTTGTGCAGTTTACTTGGGGATAGAATTCAAGTCAAATGTGGTAGACTTGATGGGCTGAGGAGTCATTTGGGACTTCTAGAACACCCGAAAATTAGAAGAGAAATTTTGGGAAGGAGAGTGCCTCAGAGAGTAAAATCTGCCTACATATTCCTTCCAAATCCTTGGTGGATTCCGAAATTGTGCTTGTGCAGTGTGATTATTTAAAGGAACCCAGCAGAAAGCAAGTTAAAGTCTAAAGAATTCAGCAGAGATTGCAGCTGCTCAAGGACAAACAGTTTGAAATTCAAATTCCACTAAGAAGGACTGAGTAAACAGCACGGTGGCTCACGCCTGTAATCCCAGCAGTTTGGGAAGCCGAGGTGGGCAGATCACAAGGTCAAGAGATCAAGACCATCCTGGCCAACATGGGGAAACCCCGTCTCTACTAAAAATACAAAAATTAGCCGGGTGTGGTGGCACACGCCTGTAGTCCCAGCTACTCGGGAGGCTGAGGCAGAAGGATCACTTGAACCCAGGAGTCGGAGGTTGCAATGAGCCAAGACTACACTGCACTCCAGCCTAGAGACAGAGCAAGACTCCATCTCAAGAAAAAAAGAAAAAGGACTGAGTAAATACTTGGTGTTTCACATTGAACCCCCAAAATACCATTCCTTAAGGAAGAATTAAAGCATCCAAGAACAAAAGGCTGTGCTTTAGCACTAAGGACAAAATGGAAAGAAATTCACTGTAACGAAGCTTAAAATCTCACAGCATCAAAGTCACCCATTAGTAATTTTAAACTAGAACAAAATACTATTTTAAAGAAGAAAACAATTCAGACTCACCACAGTATTTCCCCAAAGCTCAGTACATAAATAAATAAGTATGCAAAGAAAAACTATGTGATCCTTTTGACTCAGCTTCCCTGATAGAAAAAAAAAAAAATGTGGTCCATAACATACTCAATAGAAAATACATAGAAGCAAATGCACAAGTGACCTCTATGAGAGTGATTTTAAAATAGCTTTAAAATATGTTTAAAGAATTTACAAGAAAAGAGATAATGGGTGAACAGCTTAGGAGTTTTGGCAGAAAAACAGGAATTAAAAACCCAATGGAGGCCAGGTGCGGTGGCTCACACGTGTAATCCCAGCACTTTGGGAGGCTGAGGTGGGTGGATTACTTGAGGTCAGGAGTTCGAGACCAGCCTGACCAACATGGTGAAACTCTGTCTCTACTAAAAATACAAAATTTAGCCAAGCATGGTGGTGCATGCTGATAATCCCAGCTACTCGGGAGGCTGAAGCAGGAGAATGACTTGAACCTGGGGGGTAGAGGTTGCAAAACCTCATCTCAAAAAATAAATAAAAATTTTAAAAATAATAAAACCCAGTGAAAAGTCTTGTAATGAAAAATCTGAAATTAAAAATTTCATTGGACGGACTTAACAGTAAACTAGGCATAACAGAGGAAATACTGAAAAAGCAAGTAGGTTATCAAACCAAAGCACAGAAAGGAAAAAAAAAATAGAGGTTTGAGACTTTTGGGACCTTATCAGTTCCTGTAATTTGAAGCAGAGAAGGAAAGGAAGAGAATAGGGCAAGAGAAATCTTGAAGCAGTAATGCCTGAAATTTTCCCCAAAGTGTTGAAAGACAGCAACATACAGATCTAAGAAGTTCAGTGAACACCCAAGCAGAATAAATACAAGAAAGACTACATCTGAGTACATCACATTGCCAAAAAAAAAAAAAATCTTAAAAGCAACCAAGGTGGGGAGTGGGAAGGAATAGCATTACACTAGATAAACGAGTGATGGCTAACATCAGAGATGATGGAATTCAGAAAATGATGGAATGACATCTTTAAAGTGCAAAGATTAAACAAAGTTTAACTTAAAACTCTATATCCAGGCTGGGCGCGGTGGCTCACGCCTGTAATCCTAGCACTCTGGGAGGCTGAGGCGGGCGATCATAAGGTCAGGAGTTTGAGACCAGCCTGGCCAATATGGTGAAACCCCATCTCTATAAAAAATACAAAAGTTAGCTGGGCGTGGCGGCGGACACCTGTAGTCCCAGCTACTTGGGAGGCTGAGGCAGGAGAATTGCTTAAACCTGGGAGGCGGAGGTTGCAGTGAGCCAAGATTGTGCCACTGTACTCCAACCTGGGCAACAGAGTGAGACTCTTTTTAAAAAAAAAACAAAAAACACCTCAGTATCCAGGCCGGTTGCAGTGGCTCACACCTGTAATCCCAGCACTTAGGGAGGCTGAGGTGTGCAGATCACCTGAGGTCAGGAGTTCGAGACTAGCCTGACCAACATGGAGAAACCCCATCTACTAAAAATGTCTGTAATCCCAGCTACTTGGGAGGCTGAGGGAGGAAAATCACTTGAACCCAGGAAGCAGAGGTTGCAGTAAGCCGAGACAGTGCCACTGCA